CTCCTTAGCAAAATGTGGCCATCAAGCAAAGAATATCAATAATAAGTCTCTGTATCTATATAGTAATTCTATATTACTATACAGTAATTCCACCATTTGTAAAATGATCTTTCATCAGATTACATTATTATATAGCATCATTATGGTTTCTTTCATCTATGACTATCAATAGTTCACCAAATAAGTTTCTTACCTAGAAACAGCAAATGCCAATTCTTTACTCTATCGAAAGGCTATTTTTCTGTGGTCAGTATGTCTATCCATCTATCCCTCCACCATTTACCTACCCATCCCTTCATTTATCCAACAAGCATTTATTATATGCTGCTACATATCAGGCAATGTACTAAAAGGCCTGCGTTCTACCCTGGAGAATATTCTACAGAAACGAGAGAGACAAACATTCATTGGCATTAACTCAGTAGGCCCATAAATGCATATAGAATTTAGAGGCCCAGACAAATGCCGTAAAGGACAAGGACAGAGGCCTCGGTGACGTATGCCATGGAGATCTGATTTGGTTGTGGGGATGGGGATGAATCAAAAGTAAGTCTTCCAAAGAGCAGCCCGAACTGAGAGCTGATGGGTGAGCGGAAGCTGCCTGGACCTAGGGGCTGGCAGGGCCATCCAAAGACGACAAAGCCTGCAAAGTGTGGGCTGCTGCTTTGACTGGACTCTGGCTTCAATTCACTTTTCTAAAACCTTTTTTGGAGAAGAACACCACTACTTCCTCTGTTGGAGAGAAGAAATTCAAAAACCTGAGAAACAAATGTTCTAAGTCAGATACCAAAAAGGTGTCTGCTGAAGGCAGATTTCACCATTTGTTTTGTGAAGTCTTTCTCTGTGGCACCTCTGACTCCTTTTACTTACTCCTTAGGAAGTCATTCGACTTCTCTGGGTCTTGGTTTTCTCACCTGTACAATACGAGTCAGGCTCTATATATATGATTTGTAAGGTCTCTGTCATAGTCCGCATTCTGTTTCTAGAAATAACCCTGAGTTAATAGGGAGGGAAAAGCGAGGCCATAGATCTTATAAAGCAGACTTGTGGCTACATTTAAAGAACAAAAAATCAGCTTGCATTCATAGTTCAAAAAAATGTAGGAACTGCAGCTTGGATAAAGCCAAAAATAGCTACCCTACATTAAGAGTTAATGCAGGGAAACTGTTACGGTGCTTCCTTGAAGATTCAGTTACTTAAAGGTAAAGGAACTCAGTTTGATCAAAGACTAGTTCTTCACTTCTCATCCGCTATGTGGCTTCCTTGACTGTAATTCAGTGTAAAGGGAAAAATGATTGACAAACCCAGCTCACTGAAAAACCAAAATATCAAGAAAGGAGCAATCCAGCTGAATCCCAAAAAGCAAGAAGTATAAGCGAGACATGTTTAGCTCCCATGTGCTCTTGAATACCTGCACATGCCTTTGAGCTACTTACATCCTAAACTGGTTCCTGCGGATCCCCTGAGTTCTTAGATCATTTGGGAGACTCACTAGAATTTACAGGAATCTGACATCTGTCAATCTGAAATCTGAAGGTAAAGCCTTGCATTTCAAACTGAAGTCAGCTCCTTCTAGAGAAGGAAAAAGGACAATAGCTGCTATTTCTTAGCATGCATAATCAATGCTGCAAGGGTTGCTAGGCAACAGCAGAAAGGCTGTCAAACATGCCTGGGTGCCTCCAATGGAAAAGAAGCAACACTGGCAGCTACTCCACCGAGGTGAGGGGCTGCTCCGTCCTGGAAGCTGTGTTCAGTCGACTTTGTTCCTTACAGTGTATCCCTTCTTTCTGTTCAGGGACGTACCATAGACATTTTCCTCACAGGCTTATTTAGCCTTTGAATGTACTTTGAGTAGGCCAGAGCTCCCCAAATAAGCACATCAGCTGGAGAGAGGCAGCACTGTGAGAGGTCCATGGGTTATTCTGATCCAGCTCATGTTAGAGCTCCTGGAGGGTCCAACTTGTCTCTCATGTAGAGGCTGCAGCCTTGGAACTCCAGACAGCTGAAATGCACACCCTCTCTGAGGCTGGAAATTACTCTGGCTAAGGCAAGCAAAACCACTGGTTTCAACACATGTCACATGCGAGGGCACAGAGATGGGGTGTCGTAGGTTCGTGCCCATGGTGCTGGGATGAGTTTCTAACCTGCAGAGCCTCTGAGCTCCCTATTTGGGAAAATAATTTCCTTCAAATTTGAACAAAGAGGGGGCTAGCAAAGAGAAGAAGCCAGGATTTGATAAAAGATTGAATCGGTTTTTTCTTTTTCCTTTTTTATTTTTACTTTTTAATATCTTTATGAGTGTGTTTTCAATAGATAATAATTAGTTCATTTTAGGGACTTGTACATGCACATGTGACATATAGGTCATTTTTACTCCCCATAGCCCCCTCTCCCTTTTTTCATCTCTGCAGAGCCTACTTCTTCTTCCTCCTCATCTTTCTTTTATTTTACTCTTTAAACTACTTACAGTTTGGGTCTCTCAATTACAGAAACCATGCAACATATAGACTTCTGTGTCTGATTTATTTCATTTAGAACTATGATCTCAAGATTCACCCACTTTCCTGCAAATGACTCAAATTTATCATCTTTATGGCTGAACAGTACTCCATTGTTTAATATATACATATATATGTGTGTATATATATATATATATATATATATATATATATATAAACATTTTATTTACTCATTCATTTGTTGATAGGTATATAGGCCACTTCTTTAGCACTATTGGTTAAACAGCAAACATTCATCGTTGGTCATCAGAAACATATTTGGCAAAGTCAGGGTTGTGTGAAGATTAAGTCCTGGGTTGAGTTCAAGATGGACTTAGGGCTGCAGTTGGGATTTATACCAGGGAAGGGCCTCACCGACGATGATTATGAGACATATACCCAAACAAAAGCAGGCAGTGGACAGGAAAGTGGCTTTTCCTAAGGCCAGCCCAGGTATCTGGGGCTAAAACTGCTGTCTCTGGCTAACCTCTCATTGTTAATAGTACCATCCTTCAGGTCCTGTTTTAGTATATGTCCAGATGGAAATGGAGCACATAGGTTGAGAAGGTCCTGGATTTAGCTATGCAAGATCTTCTCTCTAAACCTTGCAGGAAGTAGAGAGCTATAGGCACAGAATAAGGAATGACACTAAGATGAAAGGCTGTACCACTAAGAACTTTGTTGAGTCTACCTGTGAGGTCTCCAAGCTATTCTTACACTGCTATCCAGGATTCCTTACTCTCCCAGAAAGTTCTCACATTCAGAGTCCCACTTGCAACACCATGGAATGAATTAAGAGTTTCAAGGCTTGACTTAGACTACTGGAGGGCTTCCAAGTAGTGTGAATAGTGGGCCAGAGCACAGATGTAGAGTCTTCAGTTCCTTGCCTACAATACATGGCAAGGCTAGGATTACATGTTCCTTACAACTCTTCTAGCTCCAACATTTGATCAGTCTGCAGATTTGCAAAAATAAAAATACCTTTGGTCACATTTATCAAAAAAAAAGAGAGGAAAACAAAGACTGCAGATATAACATGGCCAAATGTTCTGAACATTTTGAGCAAAAAAAAAGATGACAACAATTTTTAGAGTAAAAGAAAGAAAAGAAGAAGCAATAGCAACAGCAGGAAGTAAGTATCCCCAAGGCCACTGCAGAATTTTCACTTTAGTACTTTCCACCCCGTCGGAACTCACATCTTGCTGGGATCCTCCTATCTCTCCTACCACCTCAAGTTCCCCACCCATTTCCCTGTCTTGGAGAGGTGACGGTGACTTGTTAGATTCCTCACCCCTGGGAAAGTCTAACCTTTACTCAATGAAAAGTTCATCTTAGGAACCTCCTCTGAAAGTTCAGGGCTATCATACCTCTTGGGTAGTTTCTTTCAATAACAAGGAAAGAAAAGTACAGTTTTTCTTTATTGGATGATCTTTAGCATAACCATTAGGTCCTTAGTATGGTAAGTTCAAGAATAATTTTACTTTTCTACTTAATTATCCATATGCTTATACTAAAAAGTTTTAATGCTGAATATACCAGCAGAAGAATATACACTTGATATAAAAATATGAAATATTTCCCTGGTTATAATTAGTAATCAAATGTCATTCACATAAATGTTTCTTATTTTGGCAAAAATATAACACAACAGAAAATTCAACCATCTTGTATTAAGCTAAGAGATTAAATTTTTGCATTAGTCATGTCAGTATTCATTTGTCACTTAATTTTATAAAAGCACATTTCTTTTAAGTGTTTGATATATAATACCTAATACTTTGGTGAGTTAAAAATGTTTTTGATGATGCATACATTAAGGATCTACTAAATTCTTTTGTATTAGTTTGTTAATCCTTGTTTTAGAAACCTCTGCAAATTTTATTCCTTTCAGTAATAATTTTTTTTATTAAAGAACAGTTTCCCTTTTGAGTTTTGGGGACTATGATGGACTTTTTTCCTGCTGCTTGGTGGAGTCCATAGGAGACACCATCCACCTCTTGATGAAATCATGACTGTGCTGTATAAAATCTTGTAGTATTGGGAACATTTGGGAGGGACAAGATGCAGTATAAGAGAACAGAGGTTGAGTGGGAAGTGGAGTGAACAGCCCTACCTTTCAGAATCTTGAATGCATAAGGCCCTGTTGAACGTGTCATAGGACCAAACAATCTAAGGGAATGAGTTCCAGTCTCTAAAACTTAACTAGCTCATTTCTGTTTGACCCACTGACATATCCAGAATTTTGTTAGCATGGACTTAGACAAATAGCTCAGAGCTTTTCACAGCCTGTAGGTTTGTTGGTTGCCCCTCGGAAGAGCTCATGGCAGCTGAGCATACCCAAATATCCTCCATCTGCCTGTTCAAGTAAAGGAATTTGAACACATCCACCATTGTATACATAATTTAGTCCTGAATTGGCCACTAAAATGTAATAAAATAAAGTAGAATTTCCACAGAGTAGTGTGACCATAGTTAAGGACACATTCTGGGATGTTCTCTTACCTTCACTGCCACCAAGATCTTATCCTGCTCAGGACAGAGGTTATAGCATTCAGCTAGGAAAACTTTTCCAAAGGCTCCTTCGCCTAGCTCCCTTTTCAGAACAATGTTATGTCGCTTGATGTGCTGAACAACTGTAAAAGAAAGACAGAATCGAAATTGGAATTGAAGCATGTTGCGATGAAGGTTAAGGTGGAGAATCCATGGTCTATACACTGAACTTGCAGGCCCAGGGTTTTCTGCACAGAGTGAAGCAGAGAAGCAGGCTGTCCATCTTCACCATCTATGACTCCCAGTGGCTGGCAAGAGGCTTCACTGGCTTATTCTCCAGAATTCAGCTATTGTTTGTGATAAAATTAAAGACCTAGCTGTTGACTCCAAAATATCATTAATGAACTTTAAATGAGAAAAGGGAGATGTGAGAAAGGAATTAATAGTAATGACAAATCTTGCATGAGGCAGACATTTTGCATATGTGTCAGTCATATGTCCAGTGGGAAAGGCAATGGAATCCCCAAGAATCCATCTTTCCTGGTTAAACATTCCATGCTCCCAAGGAGAGAGACTCACAGCATATCAAGGGGAAATGCAAAAACTATACATTGCTAGTTAAGGCACAGGCCTCATCATCCCTGTTTGAGCCTTCTAATGAGATGAGCTAGACCTTGAGATGGGCTAGACCTTGGCTGAGCCTCAGTGACTCCTTTTGTTTAGACAAGAAATGCCTAGACCCTATGGTAATAGCTGGTTTCCTTAGTTCCAGGTCTAAGATCATGTCCTGGTTTTAGCTCCAAAGCCAAGAAGACACAAGGATAGGTGAATCTGGAGAATAAAGACTCTTTTTCCCTACAGTTGGGAGCAGAACTGGTCAAAGTCATTCATCCATATGCCTTTTCATATAGCAAGACAAGGGGCAGTCAGGGGTCCTCAGACCTCACTGGCTACAATTTGGAAACCAGAGAAAGGCAACACAGAAAAATGGAGCTGCTAGAGCAGCCGGAAAGGAGACTATAGGAGAAAATTACAGTGCAAGTTTGTGCCTCACTGCTTAGGACTTCAAATGCTGAGTCTTAACATGGGAGTTTTCCCGATTTAAGTCAACGTTCTTTTCAGAATCTCTTGTCCATGAACAAAGTATAGCCAGCCATCCCTCCATATCTGCCAGTTCCACATCTGTGGATTAAACCAACTTTGGATAGAAAATATTTAAATCCCACCCCCCCAAAAAAAACCCACACACAACAAAGTAAAAAAAAGATTGTTTCTATGTTGGATTCAGACAGGCCATTCTCCTTGTTATTATTCCCTAAATAATATAGTATAGCAACCTATTACATAGAATTAACAGTGCATTAATCACTATAGGTAATCTAGAGATGATTTAAAGACTTCAAGAGGATTCTGTAGGTTATATAAAAATGCTACACTGCTTCACAACAGGCACCTGAGTACCCTGGGCCTTTTTATCACAGAGGAACCTGGGAACAAATCTCCCACAGATACCCAAAGACTGGATAAAAAAGAGACTGTGACTGCCCTCCCCCACACCCACAGCATGGAATGTGAAGCCAACAGTATACTTTCCTGTTATTTTCACAACTCTATGGAATCTTCCTGTCTGTATTTTACAAATGGGGAAACCGACTATAGAAATTTTAAGGATACAGTCTGGGGATGGAGGAGCTGGAATTTGAAGCTAAGTCTGTCTGAATTCAGGGCCTGTGTCTTTCCTTCTATACCACAAAGTATCTTTTCAATTATAAATTGTGTTAAACGTGTTGAGAGACTTGATGTACATATGACTTAAAGAACAAAATAAGAATCACCTTCCTGCTTCCTCTGCTTAGATCACCCTTCAAAGCCCAGTTTAAGTTCTTACTTCCAGAGAAGACCACTGTGATAACAAAAGATCTTCTTTTCTGAACTGTTGGCATAGCTCATAGTTTTTGCTTAGTTGTATTGTATTTTATCTCCGATTTGGTACACCCTATAGGTTCTCTGAGGTCCCAGGTAATCTCTGTACATTTTCTTTGTCTTATTCGATGCTTTAGGTACTAAGCACAAAGTGGAGATTCAGTACTGTGATGTATTTTGATGCACTTCTTTGAAAGTTTTTTCATTGACTGTAACATGTGTTAAAAAAATGATATAAACTACAATTGCAGCTTAATAAGACTAAAATGAGTACTTATGAACCCATCATTCTATTTAACACTACAGCTTGAATATTCCTTGCCCCAAACTTCTTGTAACTAGAAGTGTTTTGGAGTTTTGATTTTTTTCAGATTTTGAAATATTTGTGTATGTATAATGTAATATATATAATATTATATATATATATATATATATATATATATATATATATAGAGAGAGAGAGAGAGAGAGAGAGAGAGAGGGATTGTGATCTTGGGATCTTGGGAATAGCAGAATTCAGAATTCATACACAGAGCACAGAACCTATGTATGTTTCATATACTTTGTATACATATAGCCTAAAGGTAATTTTATGCAATACTTCAAGTGTGCCTGAGTTTTGCTACAACACATCATACGAAGTCAAGTGTGGCATTTTCTTGTGGTATCTTGTCAGTACTCAAAAAGTTCTGGATTTTAGATTTTGGTCTTTTTGGACTAGAGATGCCCAGCTCATGATATTTTAGAAGCAGTGTTGTGTTGCTATATTCTTACTTGATTTTATCTAATTTCCTACCCATCTCCCAGAGATAGCCACTGTCATAAATTTTGTGTGTATCATTTCCATTATTATTTTGCTTCCAGTGACACATCCCTAGCAAGAAACTGTTCAGCTTTGCCTGTTTCTGAATGTACATCAGTGGAACCCTATCTTACGTCTTTCAGTCAACAATGTCCTCGAGCTTGAGTTACACTATGTATATAGTAGTAATTCTTCCCTTTGACTACTTTATAATATCTGTGCAAGAGCTATACCAATGTACATTTGCCCATGCTGTACTGGTGCACACCTATATTATTTCTTTTTAGATATAACTTTATATAAATTTTAGGAAGTGATTAAAGTTTCTTTTTAATAAGATTTTTCCCTGATAATTCATGTGGTTTTGATCCATTAGTGACTCTGTGAGCCCCTGGAACTTCAGGGTGAAAAAAATTAAAAGGTCTTTTTATGAGCAACAATATTAATGCATACAAGAACATGCATTAATTTCTCATGCTGTAGTAGCAGTGCTTGGATTTAAGAGGAAAGAAATATGTTCATTAGGTAGACTGCCCACATAAAGACATAAATGTAATTCTTGTGAAGAATGAGCTCCCCTATTTAAATCTAATATTTAACTCCCTAGTTGTCACATGGTTATTGGGAATTAAATTGCCACTTGATTTACTTCATACTGTAACCAGACCAAGGCAAGTATTAAAAGTTTTTGCATTTGATTTACACATTTTTCCTTTTAATATTCCAAGAAGTAGAAAAAGCTAATGGAAAATTAGTTTTAAAAATCATAATTAATTCCATCATCTTCAAAACTATAATTAATGAGGCCAGTTTTCTCAAGTTGATCTTGAAAGCAGAAAATGCATCTTTTCTTTAGAAAATAGGCTATTTGCATTTCTTTTTTTTTTTTTTTTTTTGCCTTGCTGTGACTTGGAGTATAGGTTACCTGAATGGTGTCCTTTTGCCAAAGTATTCCCTGTAAACAAAACACATTTTTTTATTTTATAAGATGGCTGCCACTGGGGAAAGAAGTAACCATTTTCTATTTGTATTTGTATTCCTGACAGGTCTTCAGAGGCTTTTACATGACACAGTTGGTTCTATATAAATATTTCTGCAAAAATAGGTTTAATAAACCCAGATGGAAGCTGTCATTATATTATCTCATTTAACTGACAACAACTCTACTGGGTGTGTGGGTGATGAAGCAGCCCCCTTCTCTGGGATGAGAGGAGTGTGGAGAAGATCTAATCTGAAGCATCCACATCACTGAGGTAAGAATTTCTTCTCATTCTCCTCTGGGAGAGCAACAGGTTTACCTCACTCTGCTACTTCTAGTCTCTCTTCAGCACCACAGGAAGTCCTGCCTTACCCAACCTTTCACCCCATCAGTGCTCTCACAGGCCCCAGTCAACATCCCTCACTTTGTGTGTCCAGCAAACTCTCGCGCAGTGCCCTCTGGGCTCACGGCCTGCAAGTCCACAGGCTCTTCACATTCCCAACTCTCATCACACTTTCTCCCAGCTCCTGACTCAGATGAAACTTTGGCTGTACCCTGAGAGCGCCCTGGAGCTCCCCATGCCTTCTTCAAGGAAAGATCTCTGTCCCTTACCCATAGTGTGCCAGCACCTGCTTCCAATTTTTCCCCCCTCTAAAGCCCCAGTTATTCTGAAGCACTGATCTTAGGCACCATCAGCCTGTACCTTCTGCCTCTTTGTGCTGATATCTTGTTCACTCTCCTCACCACCTTGCTCCAGCCTCACACTTCTGCTCCACCCTATTGATGCCTTCCTACTCAGGCTCTGAGAAGCAGACAGGTTCCAGAGCTTTCCTAAGCCACAGCAGCACTGGGTTGTCCTTTATCCTGTGTCTTTCAAGAGGAAAGGAAGGAGGTTGCAGGCATAGGAAGGCTTGGTCTGACTTTTGGCAGGGCATTAAGCTGACTTTTCCTTGGAGCACGAGCATCTTAATGAAGGAAGCAACACAATGATTTCCATTCAACACAAGGTCTTTCTGTCACTGTGGACCAGCACTTAGAATATTACTGTCTGCAAGGGCCATATGCATATTTTGATTCATTTCCCATAGAGTGTCCTGAATCAGAGGACTCCATGATAAATAAGAAGTTATGGTGTGAGCATGTAAAACTCTTACATGCTTCCTTTCTCTCCACTTTGGGGATTTGAGTAAAACCATATCAAACAATGGGGATAAGCATAATAAAAATAAATAAATTAGATCCTGAGCTCCACTATCAATGGTTTCCTATGCTGGAGGAAAACTCAAAACAATAGCTGTTTTTAAAGTTTTATGAAAAAGTTTCTCTTTGAAATTCATCCTGGCCCCTTCCTGCCAGTCAAAAGAAGTATCCGTAAGAGCCATGGTAACCACACCGCCAAGCTTGCGTGTCTGCACTTGTCACTGGTGGAATTTTCCTGG